CTTAACACAAACCTCGAAAAAGGTTTCGAGTGAGTTAAGGAGTTCCTTCTCTGTCTTAGCATGGAGTATGAAATCATCTAGCCAGGCCTTGAGCGAGTTCCGAAGTTCGGCAAAGCATGGTTCGACACGTGACTGGAAGTTTGCCATGCAGTTATTCCCACCTTGGAGAGTTCTAGTTGGTTTAAAAATGCCAGTCGGTGTCAAGAAGCTGTGGTACTGCTGGCTCTTCTCGTCTAACGGCAACTGCCAATATCCGCTGCAGAAGTCAATGCAAGCAAAACACGTGCTACCTGCAAGGTCGAGGAGTTCCGACTCGATGTGCGGCATAGGCCACGCCACAGGTATTGTAGCTGCATTTACACGGCGCAGATCAAAAGTGAGCCTGAATTTGGCTGGTGGTGGCTTGGGAACAAGGAGCTGTGCTGCTGCCCAGCTGGCGTCTCTATTAGGTCTGATAAATCCATGATCAGCCAGCTTACCCACGTAGCTAGACATGAACTCTCTCTGTTCAGCCGTGTAACGACGTGCTTTGGCAATGTGCGGAGTATATCCCGGCTTCACTGAAATTTTCATGGGTTCAACATCGGCAGGTGGGTCTGGACCTAAACGAAGTCGAAAGACGTCGCGATTCTTTTGAAGCATACCTCGCAGGCGTATCTGTCCTTCAGAACTTAGGCCATTCTCTCCTGCTTGCTTCAATATCGTGTTGAATGCCTCTTGGATCTCCTGTTCGGTGTCTTCCCCGAGGTCCAGCCAATGGTCCTCTGCGGAATCTGCCTCTGCGTCATCCTCAGTAGCCGCGTTTGAGTGGTAAATTCCTGACGAGAGGATGCGTGCTACTGAGCCATCACTGTAGTCTTCGGAAGGAAGAAGAGTATCGACATCCACAGAACCCTCGAACTTGTCACAGGCGGCCTCCAGCAATATCTTTGTGTTTAAGCCTAGTGCCTCTAGAATAGGCCTTCCTAGAAGGGGTTCGTTCACTTCGTGTGTAGCGACATACCACGAAAGCTTTCGTAACTTGAGGGCCTTGCCATGACGGATTTGAAGCTCTGTTGTTACGATGGCCTCTCTATCACAAACGACATATAGTGGCTCCTTTTCTTCGGACTTGGCAGCTGCGAGCCCAAACTTGCGCTTGGCTTTAAACGGTTTAACGACAATATCAGCACGTTTCTCGATGAGGGCTGCCAACAGGTCTGGTGGCATCAGGTTGATGTCAGACCCATTGTCTGCGCACAAACTTCTTATCTCAACCCCCGCAAAAGTGGCGTTCAAGATCGTACTATTAGTCTCAGAGACACTCGTCTTACTGCAACTGACTTTTTTGAAACTCTTGCGCTTTTCAATGTACGCCTTTAGTAGACGGTCTTTCTCGGCTTGTGTTGCCTTGTCACAGTCTTTGATGTAGTGCCTTACACCTTTTTCGGCACAAGCTGGGTTCAGGCACACAGGATTAGTGCGCCCGGAAGACGTGCTCTTAGTTGAAGATGTCCTCCCCTTGTTGGTGTCACCTCCTTTCTGATCCCTGGTCTTGTTTTGGTTCCGGTTACTTGTCCGACTCTTAACCTTGTCTTGAATGGTGGCTTCCTTGCACAATAGGCGGACGTACGGCTTTAACTTCTTCTTGAGTCCTTGTTGGTACTCTAAGTGCTCCGCCATCGCAGCCTTAAGATGCGGCGGATAGAGATGTTCCTGTAGCAACTTGATTGTCTTCTCTGGATTTGACTCTTTGAAATCCTTGTAGCCCACTCCTTCAAGCCGCGCAAACACGTCGTTGACGAATTCCAGCACGCGCGCTTCCGGATCAGCGATTGTCATAGGCATACGGACTCCCCGCAATGCATCCTGGACAACAGTTGGGTTGATATCTGCACCGTCTTGATGAGATATGATACCTCGGATGAACTGTTCGATGTGCTCTGACGTGAGCTCACCAACGTCTTTGTCCGGTGCAATGTCGTCGAACTTACCAATGAAGTGCATACTCTCAAGTAGAGTACGATCGATCGACACCTTGTACGATGCTACTTGCATAGACGGGACTTCCTTCTGTTTCTCCAGTACTTCGTCTGCATATCTCTGACGTTCTTTGAGAAACTTAACAACCTTTTGCGGATCGACACTGCGAAGTATCGGGTGCGATACAGGTTGAAAAACAGCACTATGTGTCGTCGAGTCCAGAGAGCTTTGGCCCCCGTCGTGTCCACTTGCCATCGTCTCGTTGTCGGGCAGACGTCCTGCCGCACGCCTTGAGTTGATATTCGTTCTCTCGTTGACCATCGCCTGTCCCTCACGTAGAAGTTCCGATAAATCTCTCCTGCAGGACAGAAATTTCTGTAAACCCTCGTAGACTCCTTCGTGTTGAACAGGTTCAATGATGGTTTTTTTTCTTACTAGCAATGAAGTGTGACATTACTTATAGGGGATGTAGGGCGGTAGGTAAATTTGGACTTGTAAAGAATAACAGGAACTAGTAAGGGAGGTTGACAATGACTAAAGTCGACGGAGCTTGACTCAGAAGGATGCAGCAGGAATCACCAATCAATATATCATATTGATAGCACTACTCCCACAATCGACCAGCACAGAAGACGAGTTCTGACGATAGTCGCCACGTACGTCTATAAACTTCAACAAACTGGAATCTCTCGATCATTCTTATTCCTGATATCATGCGCTGTTGGTGGTCGGTAAAGACATGGCTGTAACCCTGCGTGCTCTTTGCAAAGGCATGGGAGTCCTGTTTTTGAGTAGGGGGGCTGTAAGCAAGCGCATGTAGGCGCACCATCAGCACGCTCCTGCATTTGTAGTTATTGCACCTGTGAACTCTCATCAGTACTTAAGCATAGGTCGGTGTGCGACAGATTTCGACCGCACAAACCCACAGCCTTCAACAACCTTCAGCAACAAACAAAGGAAAGACACCCTCTCGAATTTTCAACAAACTCCAAAATGTCTCGCAGCTTCATGTCTATCTTCGCTCTCTTCGCTCTCTTCGCTGTCATGTTTGTCCAGACCGAAGCTGCAACCTGCCCGTGTGTCTGCCGCACCAACGTTGATAGCGCCCTCGCCGAGTGCGGTCGCAGATTAAGCAGCTGCCGTGTCTATACCTGCAGCACGGGAGGCACGTCAGGTGCCTGCTGCTGCTACTAACAACAGTAATGCGAGTTGTGTGTGTTGTGACGGAACTGGGATGTGCATTGAGAAGACTACCGCTTCGCTCTGGCGAGTTGTTTTTCTCCGCATTAATAGCTAGCCTACTCTTTGACGCCCTTCCAATCGTACAGTAAACGAGAAGTGCTCCCGTCTTCGTTCATTTTCATTGTTTAATCGGTCTCTGATGTGTTGTCTTAGGGTAGAAGTTAGCGAAGTGTAGCAAATTCGTTGGAGTAGACGGGATAGCACAAGTCATATCCCACCTGACTTCTCTTCACATTTATGAAACGGAAGTATTGTCCTTGTCGGAAGTCATGCTTCTTGTAGTTTTTATTCCAGTGTATCGTAACATTTCTAATGAAATAGCATCCATAACTCGCACTGGCGATGACAGGGGCGGGACCGGCCCTGGCCCCGCCCTACACCTAGGCTGAGCATGTACGTTTCTTGATCTTTAGAAACGTGGATATACATCGATGGATTGTTGTTAACACCGACCCCAGAGAAGTTGTGTGGAAATGGACAAAGCAGTCCTGGTAGCTTGAGATTGATGCAATAACGCTATAGTATTACTGCAGCACATACACACCACGCTACGGCGGTATTGTGTTGTACTGTTTTTGGTGGCGCGATCTTGAGAGTGATTATTTTGCTTCAGCACTAGTCACCTCTTCAGAAGTGCAGCATGCGGAGATATTCAATCTTAGCTTCACAATTTGCGGAAGAGAGGACAATGGCAAGAGAGTCTGGTTAGTGTAATTCTCTAAAAAATAACCGGAGCGGAATGACGGACCGCAAGGACAGACTGTCTATATCACAGTCTGTCCACAACAGTATTTAATAGGAGCGACGGCGACAACGAGTAAAGACCACCCCATGCGGATTACGATTCATCACGGAACAAGGAACTTTAGTCTCTTTTTTTGAGAATTATTACTGTACGCAAGAAAAATTCCAAAATAAAAGGGGTACTGTAAAGGGGGGTTGCTGGTGTTGTCGGACAGTGACAAAAAAATCGGACATGCAAAATATTTTGAAAAATATCTCCGACACGGGCCAAGGAGCACCGCCGCGCGTAACGGCGCCAGATAGTGCGCGCCGTATATCAGAACGACGTGGTTGAAATTAAAGAAAAAATATCTCAATCGATTGCTTACGGCTTTCTACGTATAAGTGTGCAACAACCCAAAAATACAAAATAGGCGGACTTTTCTATTTTTTATTTATTTGCTTGGATGTCCGATCTTAGTGCTCGGTTGAGGTGCAAAAGTGTCCGCGCGCTTCACTCTCACTCCTCTTCTGTGTCCGTGGTTGTTTTCGCCAAGTCCCAGTGGCCGACAGGCTGAGAGTGTCCCCGTCGCAAAACATAAAAAATGGTGATTGCTTGACAATTACATGTACTTTTTCCTTTTAATATTGAGGTTTTTGTCCGACGTCTCCAGCACCCCGCCTCTACGTAAGAAACATTATCCAAATTCTACACGTAGCTTCCCACATGCACTGTCTTTATTCGCAACGCCAAGCGTACAAGTGTCATGAGAGCCATACGTGCACACGTAGCACACGCATGACAGTACAATTAGATCACCGCACTCGCCGCCGTAACACAGATCCCTATCCTTCCCTTAGACAGGCAATAGGCATCAGTAAACCGAGTCATCGATCTTGCACCACAACAAGCATACCTTTCCCGCCCCCTCTGCGAGAGGACCAAGGACGACAAACAACGAGAAGCATAGACAAGAGAGAAGAGATTCAGAGAGAGATAGAGAGAAGAGTAAGCGTCGCTTTGCCACCGCCGCCTATTCAATTCCGAACAACTCTCCCCATTCCCAAACACCATGGCTGATCCGTACAGTATCTTGGGCTTCACCGGCCTGGCTGAGCAAGCCGTCCGCCTCATCGCAAGTCTCATCGAACGACACAAAGCCTACAAGGAAAACAAAACGCTCTCTACCGAAATGCTCACCGCCTACACCACCTTGCAGGCAGACATCACGGAGGTGAAAGACAGTCCGATCCATAGAACGTCGTCGCAGCACACGGGCTTTCTCCAACGTTAAATCGAGGACATCTCAAGTTTCATATTGAAGTCCCTCGAAGAGCTGCATACAGAGTTGGACGACCCAAAAGCGAGACTCGGTGCGTACGCCTCCGGAGTGGGAGATAGAGAAGTCCTAGAGAAGCGCAAGCAAGAAGCGTGCCGCCTTCACGATCGTATTCTACAAGCAAGCACGGGCATCGATACTCACGCGACTCGTGCGGCCGTCGAGTCGATCAGGCGAGGCACGGGTGATATGTTCAGGCCGTCGAAAAGAGCAGAACATAATGCTGCGTCGATATACGTGAAGCTTGATTCTCGGGGGAGCAATGGATTACCGAACACGTGTGAGTCGCGTCTAAAAGCGGCTGTGCTACTGAGAGGTAGGAACAAGCAAGTGGGTGCGACAGCAGTGGTACAGGGCGGAGTCGGGAAGACATGCGCTCTCTGAGCGATCGCGCACGATGTTGAGATTAGGGCGGGGTTTTCGGGAGGAATGTACTTCATGTCGTTGGGGAAAGACGGAAACGTGGGACGGCTGATTGAAGAACTGTGTCTGATTGTGGAAGCGTCCGGTGGAAACCAGACGGCTGCGGAAATGCGAGAGCAGAGCGAGTTTGGAAGGGTGTTGGCAAAGGTACAAGCGTGGTTTTGCAGTCATGTGTGTCTGTTCATCATTGATGATGTGTGGATGGTAAATGATATAGACACGAATATCCTTCAGAAGTTGTCTGTTCTAGCTGACACTGCGGGGATAGGGAGCTGTATCAGATTGGGGAGCGGGTTGCTTTCGAGCCGAGGGAGAGGGTAGGGAAAGAAGCAGTTGACATGCTTGTGCACGCGAGTGCGGCGAATCGAGAGGAAGTGGATGATACGAGATGCAAAGAGGCCGTGGGTGAAATACTGTAAATGTGTAGCAGATTGCCGCTTGCCCTGAACGTAGCGGGAACGAGTGTGAGGTACATGAGGGAAAGATGGGAGGGAGAAGTGTCAGAAGCATAGGGGGAGTACCTTTCGAGGATGAAGAGCCGCAACACGATTCGCGGGGAGAGTCCAAAGGACACATATTTGTCGTTGGATGGGACATTGCATACGTCACTAGATATCCTGGGGTCCAATGTGGGAAGCAGTGGGGAGACGGTTGGTGATTTTTCGTTTCGAAAGATGCACCGAAGTCTGCGCGTCATGAAGAAGCAAGACCGGATACCTTTGTGTTTGGTTGGAGATTTGTGGGAGATAGACGACGAGTGGACGGAAAGGTGTGCAAAGGAGATGGAAAGGGTTGGATTAGTAGAGTTGCAGTATGAGAAGGGTTGTGGTGGATTGCGGGTGCATGATCTCCCCGCGAATCGTGTTACGGCTCTTCATCCTCGAAAGGTACTCCCCCCATGCTTCTGACACTTCTCCCTCCCATCTTTCCCTCATGTACCTCACACTCGTTCCCGCTACGTTCAGGGCAAGCGGCAATCCGCTACATATTTACAGTATTTCACTCACGGCCTCTTTGCATCTCGTATCATCCACTTCCTCTCGATTCGCCACACTCGCGTGCACAAGCATGTCAACTGCTTTTTTCCCTACCCTCTCCCTCGGCTCGAAAGCAACCCAGTCCCCAATCTGATACAGCTCCCTATCCCTCGTGGAGTACAGTAGTCTGCTCCTCCTTTCCCCGCTGTCCCCTGCAGTGTCAGCGAGAACAGACAATTTTTGAAGGATATTCGTGTATATCATTTACCACCCACACAATTTCGCGGTGGAAGAAGCGAAGAAGAAGGAGGGTGTAGAAGAGTGATGTAAGAAGATGGCGGATGTATGCAGGGCAGGAGGAGGGTTGCTTGCATTGAGTGACGACCGAGATGGAGAGGGCAAGAGCGCACGGGAGGAGTATATTTTCGAGAACATATCCGTAGTGTTCATATGTACGATGTATCGTACATAAAGACAGATCCAGAAATTTCTGAACTTGCCTTATGTACGATACGTCGTACATATAAGCCTCTTTTATGTCATCTTTGACCTTCTGTTTCTTAGAAACAAATGTTAGTTTCTCACTGGCGGGTAGGTAGTCAAACTCTATGGGTTGTCGAGAACGTACCTCGTGTTCAATTTCCGCAGAAACGAAGTACAGGGTGCGAACGACAGATCAAGGCGTACCGTCTCACTCTCACCAAAACCTTACCTCTTTGCTCATGCCGGTGGGGATGCTCTTAGAGCCTCCCCACCGGCATGAGCAAAGAGTTAAAAGGTAAAATTTTAGCTTTTACACCCTGGTGAATCCGCTCCGCCGGGGAGTCAAAAAGGTAAAATTATTTAGCCCGGGGGTATTTCCAGGGCGCAAATCGGTCGGTTTTACACCTCGAAAATAGCCCTATAAAATGGGGTACCCAAATTAGAGTAGGTCATGCTAGTTTATGTTCCAAGGTGCCGAAAATGGGCCTGTAAATTAGTCTAGCCCACACTAAATCCTGTTATCGGTGTAGTTCTCTCCAGCCCTCGGTCGGCATGCTTCTTTGCTGTCCAGATCCCCGCTGGATTCGGCGCGCACGTGTACCACGTCCCCGCCTCGCACGTACCCTCTGCCCTCGCCCTCTCTCTGCAGGCCTTGCTGATGGGACAGAAAAATCCGGAGATGCCTCCACAGTATTATTAAGTTGCAGGCTTTCAGGATGTAGTCCTGATACTTGACGGGGTTCCATAGATTCGCTTATAAGTTGCGGCTGCGAGAGATTAGACAGCGTTGAGAGATTGCAAGCGAGCACAGGTTGAGGCGACGGCAAGGGAAGAGGCAAAGGAGGAATCTGTTCCAACTGGAGAAGAGTTTTTGATGCTCCAATTTCAAAAATTGGCTCCCCCATGCACTCCTGAGTGGCATGAGAAGAGCCTCGGGGGGAGGAGGCCAACGTTCAAGTAGTTCCTGGGCATGGGGGGGGGGGGGGGGGGG